CGAGCCGAAGCCCCCCCCCCCCCCGCCCCGGGGAAAGAGCGGATCGGCTTGTGAAAAATTGCGATACGATTGTAATTTCGATTGCACGTGACGCGCGAGGCCCGGGGAGCCACGTGTCATCGCGTTTTACTACCTTGAGAAAAAACTCTCGCCTGTCCCTCGGTGTGTATATCCCCGGTCGAGACCCCGGTGTAACACAACGACGACGCACGCGGAAACTTCTTGCGGCGACTTGCGTGTTCTTTTTTACGTACGTCCAGTATGTGTGTGTGTGTGTGTGTGTGTGTACACGGAGAATAGAGCCGCCAGCATTGGCACGGCACACGTATGAGAAGGAAACGGGCCGAGGAGGAAGGGAAGAGAGAACGAAGAGGAGGAGCGCGAGAGAGGATGAAGAGAGAGACGAAGAGAGAGAATGAAGCCGACGATGCCTGGAAAGCGTTTAGCACAACCGATATATTAGCTATTGGTCACGACATTGTCTACCGTTACATACGCCGTCGACATTACGTGGGGGGGAGGGGGACGTATATAATCTTCCTACTTTTCTCTTACTCGTTTCTCGGCTGATTCTCACGCTGGTAACCCACTCGTCGGTACGTCGGCGTATCGCCCGTGGCTATGTACCAAGATGAAACTCAGGAATGAGGGTATTCCACTTTTTTCCCTCTTTCTTTCCCCCCCTCCTCCTTTTTTCATTCTTTAAGAACGCAGTTGCAGCGATTGCTGCTCGGCCATATTAACTCTTTTAACCGCACGTCCCGCCGTTCTGAAATTTGCACGTAGGTCTCTGCGCGGGATTTACTTTTACCTGCCGGCGCGTCTAATGCGGAGATCTGAATTTTTTAAACTGACTTTCCTGCCACATTATCTGCAACTACCTGTGAATCTCAGAAGACGAAGACGGTTCCCAGGTATTAGGATGACGTCAAAGGACGTATTAATAAAATCGATGATGTCAATAATACGTCATTAAGACGTCCTTAGACGTTAACCTGCTACCTGTGTTGAGGGATGTGAAAATTAGCGAAATATATCGCCAGCTTTCCGAAATTGAGCTTATTTATATTTGATTGTATCTAATATAATGTAATTATCATGATTATGTGAACGTTAGGGCCTAATCTCGGTCGTTTCTCCTATAGGAAATCCCAACGACAAGGTCCTGTTCGCTAGGTGTCGGTCGATGCCGGGCCGTCTCGAGAGGCGACACTCTCTGCGCCTCTGGGGATCGGCCAGGCGCTTGCACAGAAGCGGAAGTTCGCGGTCTCTGCCACGAAGACCCGAAAGGAGCGACACGTCGTCCAGCGCGGAGTACGCCAGCACGGACAGCGCGCCTCACAGTCCAACTAGTGAGTCTGATCGGGGAAGGGAGATCTGCTTGGTGATGGGTGACCGCTTGATGGGAAAGGAATCAGTTGAAAAAATGCCTGCAATTGTACATAACTATCTCTCCGATGATATGATTTTGCCCAGAAGCTTTGTATCTCCCGAATGGTCGTTTAGATATTCGTATGCTGAGAGAAAAAATTCGGTATACAGAGAAAAAGATATAGACGACTAAGGACGCATTTACTTAAATCTAAATTCTTTTATTTAGTTAGAATAAACAATTGCTTTCATGCAAAGCTACAGATTTAAGAGAGTATTATATTTTTTCAATCGAAAGCAATTGTTTCCCAGTATAAAAATGTGTGTATTGATACAATACAAGTAAATATGTTATTGTCACTCACGAAATAAATATTCTATTATTTTTAGATATTTTTCCTTTCAGCGTGTATATCATACACGAGACAAATCTTTCGATCGATTTCACTATCGCCTCAAGGCTAACGAACGTCTCGATACACATCGAGATAGCTATGAACTACTGCGGCGTTAAGTCAGCGTGAATATCCCTTATGAAATATCACGTGTGTGTACGTTTGACCCGCCATCCGCCGTTGATCGTACGACGGTACAATCCAGATCGAAGCTTCTTAGTCACCCCGTAGCTGGCCAGCCCTTCCCCGATCCTCATTATCTTCGAACAAAACCCAGCAAATCCAAATCCCTTCCTCAAGGCTTTTCTGGGATTTTTTCAGAGAAGATAGGCCTGCTCTCCAGGCTCTTTCGGCGAAGCACACGGAGGAAGGGCGCACCGTTAATGGGCACTTTCAGTGCTCAGTATCCCCCCACCGAATGGTTTAATCCGCGCGTCGTGCATTTGCATAGCGTTGCCACGCAAACAAGGGCCGCCAGTCCTTCGGTAAGTTGCGCACAGGTATTTGCCAATAAGAACTAATAAAAGGCACTTCTTACATGGCGCTTGTAGCGCCGTGAGGCTAATTAACCGGTTCCCCCCGATAATTGATAAAAAAACTCCGAGACATTCCTGGCCGTTAATAATCTTGAAGTTGGAAATATCATATAACGACGGAGAGACAGCGGGCTCTCGCGAGTAATTCGAACGATTTAGCCGGGGATTCACATGTGGGATGAAATAGCCGCTGTTACAGAGTAACCGAACGGCGAGCTCAGATCGATTCAGTCTTTCCTTTCCTTTTCCTCTCAGATGATGGAGGGTTTAGACCAGTCGCAGGCCAGTTTCCAAGTGTGGGACGACTCGAGTTCCGTGCGATCGGCCACTCTGCCGAGGCGACATCGGCGTCAAGCCAGCGGTGATTCCTCGAGCTTGTTGGCCAACTCGACGCCGAGGAGCTCCCGGAGGCATCGGTCGCCCTGTTCCACCCTGCCGAGGTCCAAGTGCTCCAGCCTGAGCAGATGTACATCCAGAGCCTCCGTTCTGCCGCCCAGCACCACTAACCAGGAGACGTATCAAGCGCGCAATCAGGTACAAAACGACAAGAACTCGACGAACTCGTCGCCTAGCAGAAGTGGCGGCAGTTCGGGCTCGGTTAGAACGATGAACGCGAGCCCGGCCAAGGCGACGACGTTAGGCAGGCCCAGCACGCGGCAGTCCAACTCCAGAAGGCCGAGTCACGATTTCAGCAACAGCGGCGTAAAGTCGGCCAACGGCTCTCCTCAGCATAAAGTGGGTTTAAATTCAACTTTCTTGGGTATAACACACCTGTTATGATTATCTCGTACTTAGTTAAATTGATCATTGGGATTCCTCTTTCCCTTTTCATAATAAATTTCCTAATAAATGCATGGCCATCCCGTATTACGATATATATTGTTGCGTTATTATAATTCGACTATCTGTGCCAATGTTCTTCTAAGTCGACGAAAATTTCTCGTGGTATTCGCTATTACTCGTCGTCCACTCGATCAGTTTGCAAACGCATGTAGTTTTTCAGTTACACTTCAGTATGTGATGCATGTATGTGACGGCTTTTATGGACGTTCAACCCTTCACACCCGCGCTTTCAAAATATTAGAGGGGCATTGATTCCGCCAGTCTGAGTTCCTTACTTGTTGAGTTCCTTTATCATCGACTGATGTTGTTTTTTCAACGGTCGGAAAGCTGTACGTTTAGATAACTCTTCTAATATAGTTAAGAATAAATTAAAAATACTATGTACATATCCTGTATATTTGTCTCTGTAGCACTAAAAGTATAATAGAGATTTCTGCCTTTTCTCACAATATACGTATAAAACGATCTTTCTTTTTATGGATGAAATGTCTTTATCATAAATATTTATTTAAAGAAAACTTGCAAGTGTCTTTTGCAAATATGTTTTATTAAAGAATATTTCGACGTCAGTAATCTTAAAATTTCAATATTCTGAATCTTCGTTATTTCTAATTTGGTAAAGAAATTTTGTAATCTTCATTTCCTGTTCTTTTCTCTGTTCTCGAATAAAGCAACTTTTATCGTTCCAAGGTATTGCAAAAGACTTCATCGGGTCACTCGACGCACTCCAGCGGCAAATCCATATCCAGCAGCAAATTGACTTGTTCGCCGCTGAAAACGGCGACGCTGTCGACAAAGTCGTCGCCGCTCAAAGTCGTCCAGCAAGGTTCGTTGACTCCTCTGCAAGAAGCGCAGAACTCGATAACTCTTCAGGTGTCCACGAATCTAAGTCCGGTGAGCCCGTCGCAGGAGCAGCGTGCGATACAGAATAGCGTAACGCTGGCCTCTAACACGACCAGCACCACGACCATTTCCGGTTCGCCCGGCACGAAGATCTACGTTCAGCAGAACAATTCGCCGATGAGATCCGTCATTACTTTCGAGAACGGCACGGTGAAGACGAAGATCGCGGAGAAAGACGTGATTGACTGCAAAGAGAAGCAGGAGAGGGAAATGGGCGAGAAGACCTACAAGACTCGAGTGGATGACGAGAAGCTCTTCAAGTCTAAATTAGACGAGGAGAAGCTGAAGAACAAACCGGTCAAGGTCGAACGGCCGTCGTCACTCTACGCCCCGAAAGAGCCGAAAGCCGGCCTGCTGCTGTCCGAGTCCGACAAGGAGAACAAACCGAAGGTCGAGGAGGAAGTGCCTAACAAGCTGAAGCTGACGAACCGCCTGAATAATAGCCAGGTTCACCTGATCGACGGCTCTACCACCAACAACGTCGACAAGAACGCCCTAGCGCACGAACACTCGGCCGCCGCGCTGTCCACCACGAAGAACACCAACGACGCGATGAATAACTCCCGCAAGCTCAGCCTGTCCTTGTCCAAGGACGCGCTCAGCTACCGCAATCTGCTGCATCCCGGCTCGAAGAACAACATCGCGTCTAACCCGCCGTCTCCCACGAAGTCGTACGACGGCTTTGGCGGCTCCTTCAACGACGTCTACATCGAGAATCTGGAGACGGCGAAGCAACAGCGAGCACCGCAGGGTTCCGAGCCTAATCTGGAGAAAACTGTCAGCCGAGCCGACCTGCACTCTTACCCGAGCCTCAGCGACATGCAGGTGCAATTCACCAGCTTGGCGGCGCAGAAGATTCTCAAGGGCTGCCCGATCAACAGCGTGGACACCTTGGTGGAGGTGAACATGGCGGCCGCCGACAAGCCGAACAACTGCGACGTCACGGTTCATACGGACTTCGGCCTCGTTTAAATCGTATCTCCTCGTAAACATTCCGTCGATCGTGTATCATCCATCCGGGGCTCAAGGACCTCTCGTAACTCCCTCCTCCCCCTCACCCCCGGGCATATTGCGTCCATGGAAAACAGCGTGCCTCGAGGCGAAATAGTATCGAAGTAGCGTCGTTAACGCCTTGCTTCTTATACGTCAAGCTCGGGGAATAGGGGAGCTATTTTTCTGTCCTCTTTCTCTTTCTTTTATAAGAAGGCCACGGCTTGCGTAAGAATGTTAGACGGAGCACGCAGTTAACAGTTACCAGTGACCTGTCTCGCCTATGTACATCTCTCTCCTGTGTCTTTAACAAGCGTACGTGTTCCCGAACAATCACTTTACCAATTTCGCTTGTGTAATTAGGGCGAACACGGTCGTAAGAAAGATCGCGTATGCGAAGGAACAACCGTGCGACCTAAGTTTAAACTTGCTTGCCTTACCAAAATTGCCTTATTGAGATAACCCTCTGCCAAAACAAAAAAGGATATCCTAGCCCGAGATATTTTATATATTTCTAAATTCTAAATTCTACTCAACTACTCAATCAACTACTCGCTCAACTAATCGATTACTCGAGAGATATGGATAACGATTTGTACACTAAAATAATTGGAGAACTAAAAGGTTGTTTTTTGGTTGCGAAGGCAAGCGGTTGACACCGTCCTGCAGCATTTTGCAGTTTCAAAGATACCGCGAAGATAAATTTTCAGGATCGCCTTTCCGGCCGCCCCTTTTGCGATTTCGAGATCCACGAGACATTCCCGATGCAAAATTTATCGTCATTTGTCGTCGGCTCGCAATTTCGTACTCGGAACCATCTCATATGAATCCAAAGGCCGCGTGTTATCGTAGTAATGTAACGTCGGCGGTTTTACATCGCTTTACCGAGCTAAAGCGATTTGTCAAAGCTTCGTCTCGCGTGCAACGCTACACGCGACCCGTGGATGACAGAGGATAAATGAAGGAAGGGTTGGAAATTTTGCCGAGTTAAAACACTGCCATTTTCACGCGCACGATCGTCGTTTTCATTTTCAAGAATTTCTTTTCACTTACGCGTCATTGTGCTAATGAAAACATACGCCGGATTTTCAAGTCTTTTTAGCAAAGTAAGGTCAAGTGGTACAGCGAAATTTTGTAGCGAGACATATGTAGGGATTCTTATGAAACGCGACAGCGATAATTCCTCGAACAATAATATCGCAATAATAAAACAGGGAATAATGCCTTTCAACGTCGACGCATTATTAGTCTCGTATCAAGGTGAGCTGACGACATGTGACTTACCGATCTTTTCTTTTCTTTGCGGGCTCAAAACGACTGACTCGCATGATTCGATCGCTTTACGTTCGTAAAAAAAAAAAAAAATAAAAAAGAGAAAGAAATTCGGTGAATCGCGTGTCACGACTTCTCCTTGCACACAAGCACACAAGCATAATAATTATATGATAAATTAATTACCGTCCCCCGAGAGGAAATCGTAACATAGAGCGAAGAAAAAGAAAATCGAGGATGATCTGCGCTGCACAGCTGCAGAGATTTGATATCAAATATACATATATATAATATACATAGCGTAGAAGGGCGTTTACTTGGAACGCGCAGCCGGTACCATTCGCAATTAGTGCAATCGTAAATCTAAGTGCCAAAACTATCGTAGTTTACTTAAACGACCGCCTTAACAATTCCGTTTCGCACGGCGATTTCGTAACGCAGACACAAACGTGTTCTCTCCGCGACGAAGGAAAGTAACGCCGAGCGTTAAATCGCGAAGCCGTAGTCTTAAAAACCGACGTATTAGGCAATTAGGCAGATACGACAGGAAGAAAAAAAAGTAAGGGAGACGTGTCCGCTTTGTACATTTCATACTCTGTATCGCAGATTAACCGATCGGTGATGGTTCACAATCACTGTTCACCCTATCTCGAGATAGGAGACGTCGACTTTTCCATTATGTCACGAGCTTTCTCTTAAGTCACATACGAATATTTATTGTTGTGATTTCTCAATTGCATAATCAATACGATGATCGAAGGAACAAGTGGATAAAGGAAACGCGTTATATTTAATTTAAAAAATGTGTTTCTTTCATAATATATGAAGTGTTGTGCTTCTATCAATTAGTCTGATTCTATTAAATTATCTGTAAAAGAAATCCATATACAAAATGGATATATATATATTAGAAAAGATAAACGATAAAGATAAAGAAAAGATAAAGATAGATAAAAGCGACATGCTTAGGAAGAGATATAATTAAAAATTTGTAAAACATTTTTCCTAACATCTAATTTTGATGATGCGTCCATGATGATATCTTTATTCACTTGTATTTTTATTTGTAAATTATGCATCCATTAGTTAATGCAAACAATTGCATTAGTTAATGCAAACAATTATTGTACTCGCAAGTTTGTGAATTATTATAATTGCTAGTATTCACAATTTATTATAATATTGCTATAATTTGTAAATTATCATTGAAACTGTTACTCGTAACAGTTTATTATAATATTGCTATAATTTGTGAATTATTATAATCATTACTCATAATAATTTATTATGATATATATAGATTGTAGAAATTCTTTTTATCTATCGATTTTAACATAAATGCAAAATGCTTAAAATTAAAATATTTTCAAGAATAAAAAATCCATATTAATTGATGATTTAAGAGAAGTTCGACTGAACAATTTCTAAAGCAAGATTTGAAACTATTATCATTTATATGAAGAGAAGCATAAATTAACATTTTATGTAAGTAGTAAAATATTCATTTTTTTGGAAAAGTCAGCGTCTGTGAACGGGAAAGCGTGTGAATCCACTGTCTCTTATCTTTTATCAAAACTAACTTGTAGAGTATCATTGTATAATCTTACTTTCGAAACATTGTAACAACGAAAATATATTAACACATAATAAAAAATAGGAAAAAAACTTGCGTACGATTATTTTGTCATAAAATGCAGATTTACCTTTGTAATGTATAACATATTTTTCCAACTTCCTTATAAGCTTATTCTGTAAATTGTAACGATAACCTTGTCATCGTTACATTGTCATTGCCTAATGTATAGCAGAAAAGCTATGCAAAACGACAATGCAACGATAAGGGCACTGTCATTAAAAGTTATAGAATAAGCCTACTGATGAAATGATTCGTATCGCCTAAACCTCCACATAATTTGCCTGTCAAATCCTGTAAATTGATAAATATATGTTTCAGATTATGAAGAATTACTATCGCTTACACGTAGAGATATCTCAATATCAATTACCTGTCATTGCTTTTGAATATGGATTAAATTCGCACGAATAGGTTGCAACAGATTCTTTCGCTGTGCATATAAAATTACTAATGGAGGACATAACGAAATATGCAGTAAGAAAAGAGAAAGAACATTCAAATTCGAAGGCACCAATGAAATGACAGCAAGACACCAACCTTCGGGAAATGATGCATTCAGAGTTGCGTTTGGAAACACACTTGTGTGCACACCACTAGACATTAGGGTTGCGTTCGGAAACGCACATCAGCGACTGAAATCACGAAAGCGTACCAAAGCACGTTAAAGAAAGGTAAAATGAAGTTTACATTGCATAAGCGTCCAAAGGGAATGTAGCCTTAAGCCCGTATCAGACTATGGATCGAGATTGAATTGAATTTGGCCAATCAGTACAAAGTTCACTGAACTTAAGTTTAGTGAAATTTAATGAACTTTGCACTGATTGGTCAAATTTCAATTCAATCTCCAATCCGTAATCTGATACGGGCTTTAGTGATTATCGCCTTTGACTGGAGTGTATTTTTAGATCTAGGACAGATCCGAAAGAATGTACCAATCAAGAATAATAATCATAATGCACTAACTTCTGTTGAGCGCAGGCAATGGCATCAAACAGAAAGGAGTGGATCATTTGTGTTTAACGGTTCTGTGTATCTCAACTGGTTAGTGAAATTATCGAGAAATATCTTCCGCATTAGTAATTTCTTTATTAATATGCTTCTCGGGACACTGTAATTTAATCGCGTTATTTTCTTATTGATGAAATCGTACCTCTTAATAAGCACATACCGCGCTTTTTTCTGCCATCGAATTCATCGCATAGTTTCTCTGTGTAATGTCATTTCACGAATTAATTTTCACGAATTTTTCGTTTCAGACACATTAGAGTGTAAAAGTAAATCAAGATGATGCATAGAAGAGGAGGTAAGCGTATCCGGATGGACGATCCAGTACCACCGGAATATGAGACTCCAATGACACCGATGACACCGATGAATGACAACTCGGGTGGAGATGCAACTGATTCTTACAGCGGGTACACACCGTACAATCAGGCATCTCAAACTCCACTACATAATCCGACGTGAATATCCAGTGTCGTTAAGCTGATGAAAAAGCAGCTTATTAATTTTTCTTAACACATTTTGTATTTATAGCCCGGAACATTATTCTTCAGAGAGTTATAGTTCACCTGGGACGTCTCAACAGCAATATCAGGAGCAGTCAGGAAATTTCGACAATCAGACACAGTTTGAGGCTCCTATGACACCTGCCACTCCTAACATGAGGATCACAAGAAACACACGTGCCAGAATGCGTGGTAAGAATAAATGTATATTTAACAGACATTTTCATACGGAAAGCTTTGTACAGATTGATTCTAAAAAATTTCCGTGTTTAAAAGGAGGCGTGGTACAGCAACCCAAATACAAAGAAATCGATACCGATTATCTTCCATCGTCTAGTGGCAAAGGCAAAGGCAGTGGTGGGAGAGGAGGAGGACGCGGCAAAAGGACACATCACTCGCACAGTCTGGAAGATGAAGCTAGTCTTTACTATGTTATTAGAAACAATCGGTCTTCGCTCACTGTACGTTGACCAATTATGATTTGTACTGAAATGATGGTTCAACATTAATGATCAAAACCTCTATATGATATAAACGTTATTTGGCAGACTATTGTTGATGACTGGATAGAAAAGTACAAAAGTAACAGGGAAAATGCGTTACTTATGTTGATGCAGTTTTTTATAAATGCAAGTGGTTGTAAGGGTCGTATTACTTCCGAGATGCAGCTTACCATGGAACATGTAGCGATAATTCGTAAGATGACTGAAGAATTCGATGAGGTGTATTTCTTAAAATGTTCTATTATTTCTCAAGTTGTAACCTTTTGTTCATGCAATTTCATTTCACAGGAAAGTGGTGAATATCCGCTGATAATGACGGGACAACAATGGAAGAAGTTTCGTGCGAATTTTTGCGAGTTTGTGCAAATTCTCGTCCGCCAATGTCAATATTCTATCATTTATGATCAGTTTTTAATGGATAACGTTATTTCTTTGTTAACTGGACTCTCAGATTCACAAGTTAGAGCGTTTAGGCATACCGCAACACTTGCAGGTAAGTTTGAGCGAGCCAGGGAGATTCTTGATAAAAATTACACCTTGAATGGAGTACCGGTATTAAGAGGAAATCTTCCATTTGTTTCACGTCCAGCTATGAAATTAATGACAGCCTTGGTAGACGTTGCTTTGACTGTCTCTATAAATTTGGATAACACACAACGACAATACGAAGCTGAGAGACAGAAAGCCCGAGAAAAAAGGGCAGCGGATAGATTGGAGTCTTTAATGGCGAAACGAAAGGAATTGGAAGAGAATATGGACGAAATTAAGAATATGCTTACCTACATGTTCAAGTCAGTCTTCGTTCATAGATACCGGGACACGTTACCGGAGATACGCGCAATTTGTATGGCAGAAATCGGAGTCTGGATGAAGAAGTTCCATCAGAATTTCTTAGATGATTCCTATTTGAAATATATAGGTACGGGGTAGTTTTATAACTGTCTTGTGTATATATATATATATATATATATATATATATATATAGAAATTATAATTAACAATTTCATTTAATTTTACAGGTTGGACGTTGCACGACAAAGTTGGGGAAGTTAGGCTCAAGTGTTTGCAGGCATTGCAGCCGTTGTATGCTTCAGAAGAGTTAAAAACGAAGCTCGAGCTCTTCACAAGTAAATTCAAGGACAGAATCGTCGCAATGACGCTCGACAAGGAGTACGATGTGGCGGTGCAGGCTGTGAAACTGGTTATTTCCATCCTTAAGCACCACCGAGAGATCCTCACCGATAAAGATTGCGAGCACGTTTACGAGCTCGTTTATTCGTCTCATCGCGCGGTCGCGCAAGCGGCTGGGGAATTTCTGAACGAACGCTTGTTCCGCCCGGACGACGAAGCCGTGGCGGGTGTGAAGACCAGACGCGGCAAGAAGCGGCTGCCAAATACACCCCTTATACGCGATCTGGTTTTGTTCTTCATCGAGTCCGAGCTGCACGAGCACGGAGCGTACTTGGTTGACTCTCTGATCGAGACTAATCAAATGATGAAGGACTGGGAATGCATGACGGATCTTTTGCTGGAGGAGGCCGGCCCCGAGGAGGAGGCGCTCGACAATCAGAAGGAAACGTCCCTCATCGAGTTGATGGTTTGCTGCATCAAACAAGCCGCTACGGGCGAGGCGCCGGTCGGTCGCGGGCCCACTCGAAAGATTTTGTCGGTGAAGGAACTGAAGCAAGTTCAGGATGACAAGCAAAGACTGACGGAACATTTCATTCAAACGTTACCGCTCCTGTTGGACAAGTACAGGGCTGACCCGGAAAAATTGGCCAATTTACTGGCGATCCCGCAATATTTTGACTTGGATATTTATACGAAATCCAGACAAGAGATAAACCTGGATTCTTTATTAAGTAAAGTTCACACAATCGTCGAAAAGATGCATGACACTGAAGTGCTGGACACTGCGGCCAAGACTTTGGAACACATGTGTGTGGAAGGCCATGCTATCTTCACCAGGTATGTATATTATCGTTTAAGGGAGTATTCTTGTTTGAAAGATCGTATAAAGATATTTTTCGGAAATTTTTTTTTTTTAGGGAAACGAAAAAACCGAATAACGTTGAACTGTGCGTGTTCATTTAGCTTGATTTCAAGAATATATTTTTATTTTCTGAGCGACAGAAACGCTCTTCTCTTCTTATGTTGTATTCTGGTCACTAGGAACTCGCAAAAATCCCCGAAAAATATCTTTTAAACAAGAATACTCCCTTAATCCGGACAAGCTCGTTATTTAATATTTAGCACGTGAGATATATTTAATTAATTTTCGCGCAGATGCGACGTCGCTCGGTCTACGTTGATCGATTCTATTGTAAATAAGTATAAAGAAGCGATTGACGAATACCGGAACTTGATAGAGGGAAATGAAGTGCCAGACGAAGATGAGACATTCAATGTCATTCAGTCACTCAAGAAAGTCTCCATATTTTATTCTTGTCACAATATGAATCCATGGGGTATCTGGGACTCTCTGTACAAAGACATAGAAGATGCGAAGGATCCGTCGAAGTACCTTCAACTTTTTCTATTCATTGTAACTACGTGTTAATATCTTCAGGCATGTCATACACCGAATTGCTTACAGATGCTTACCGTTCGACGCAGTCAAGTATTGCATAAGTGCTTGTTTCTTCGCGATCTTGTGGGGTCAGAATCACTTGATGGAGGCCGTAGATTCTGGCAATCGCGGCGAAGATGAATGTCGACAGCTGAAGGAACGGTTACACGCATTTATGGGCTCGATGCGCCATTTCGTTAGCGGTGACAGTAGCAGCCTGGTAATCACGTTTATTTTGCGATAATACAATTACGATTGAGATTTCTTATAAATGAACTCGTACATTTGCTTGTCAAATAGCCGTCACCGCCGATATTGAGGGAAGAAGCGTACAACACGATATGCGATCTGTTGGTGGTATTTTGCAATCAGCTGACTACGCACACCAATCATCTGATGCATCAGTTGGTGTACGAACCCGACCAAGCGATGCAGAACATGCTTAACAGGTTTATACAAGAATACGTCTTCTTTGAAGAGGAGGACGGTAAATGAACACTTGAATCTGCATTAAGCCCGTATTAGATTACCGGCTGTGAAGGCTGATGACTCGACTCTTAGGACTTTAGTAAAGTGGCTGACTTACCGGTTTAAGACAGTATTTTATTCCTCAAGTCTTTGTTTTGAACATACGATGGCTGTCTTGGGTCTCAAACTAAAAGGCCGTTCTGCTTGTGATTCATAAAGAATCGTTAAGAAAAAAAGTAAACGAATGATAATTTAGATAAAGAAAGATTTAGGGCATGAAACATTGTGTTAAAGTTATAAGCTAACCATTTTGCTGAGGTCTTTAGTGGATCGATTACAACGTCGGCGCTTCATTGGTTTACGAAAAGACGACAGTCGGGTCGGCCTTTGCGGTTAGATACGGGTTTTCGAGGGACTTGCAGCGCGATATACGTTACTGATATGTCGAAATTCACTTCGCAGATGAACACGACGAACACTCCAAAATCGAAGAGTTGCATAAGCGGAGGAATTTCTTAGCGGGCTACTGCAAGCTAATCGTCTACAACATGATTCCCACGAAAGCCGCGGCCGACGTATTCAAGCATTACGTTAAATACTACAACGACTACGGTGACATCATTAAAACCACGTTGGGGAAGGCGAGAGACATCAACAAGACGAACTGCGCGCTAACGATGCAGCAGAGTCTGAACATCCTGTACAACGATATAGTGTCTGAGAAAGGCAAAGTGAACCGAAACAGCGAAGAATTCACCGCAATTAGAGTACGATACGTCGATATATTTTTCTTTTACTGCATAACGAGATAAAACATAGGCTAAAGTCGTCGGATTCGCTTCTTCGCAGGAACTCGCAAAGCGATTTGCTTTATCCTTCGGTTTAGATGCCGTGAAAAATCGCGAAGCGATCACGGCTCTGCACCGTTCGGGTGTGCTATTTGCGATTACTCCGCCAGACGGTATCGAACAGGACCCCACCGGCCCGCCGCCGAATCTGCCGTTCCTCGAGATATTGTCCGAATTCACGAACAAACTCCTCAAACAGGACAAACGTGTCGTGTGAGTATTTCGTATTTCGCTAAGTCACACTTTTCGGAGGAATTGGGATTTTAAAATATATTTGTTTATTTTATCTTAAGATACACGCTAAGAAATCTATTTGAATCAGTTTCTATCGTCGATGTTCGCGCGCGCTTTATTTCCAGTCTCAACTTTCTGGACCGACGACTGCAAGCTGGAATGCCGTCTTCGCGAGGGGAAGACTGGCAACCTTTGCTTTTGTACAGAAACAGCTTGCTGCACGGCGAGACTGATCAAGTCCCGGTGACGAGTAAACGAGCTTACACGAGGCGCAAGAAGGATCAGTTGGCCGGTAAAGGATTTGTCTTACTAACGTTCTACCTTTAAAAATATTCTAAATATTATGTTAGACGTAAGACTTCTAAAACTAATTAAATTAGTTTATGTTACTATTATTCTTCGCTTGGTCTAAGCAATAATCTTTCTTTCTTTTGCAGAGGAAGAAGAAGCGGATGAACCTGATGAGGGTTCTGATCATGAATTTTCAGGGTGAGTTAGGTGTACCCGACTAGAGTCTGATACATAATTATTCCTTTCTGTCAAATTTATCATTAGTACAGACTCGAATGTAATTGCAAGTAACCGTTACACGTAACTGTTCGGTAACATACACGGAAAAAATCGGCATTCGCTGAGCAGGTTAACACGTTGAACGCGGCGTCGATCCCTGGGGATCGACATTGAACTTTCCGTTTAGGCGATGTCGGTCCTTACGGACCGACACTGCATTTTTCGTTTATACGGCGTTGGCCCCTGGATACCGATAGTACCGAATTAAAAAAAATAAATTTTGTTATTCATATAATATAAAAAGACATGTTTACACTTCTTTAATGTATTTTATTGTAACATTCTAAACGCAGATAAGGTTAGCCTTTACACATTACAAAAAGTCACGACTTTCCTAGTTAAATTTCTGGCTGTTTTCTGCCCGAATGTTTTTGTATTTTTTTTTTTATTATAACATTCATAGCAGTATTTTCGAATTTTATGTACTTCTCCCCCCCCCCTTTTTTTGTCAATCGATGAACAGATCTTGTAATGACCTTGGTTTGAATTTCTTCATCTGAATGTTGTGTATGCGAAACAGCCAATTTTTTGCGGAATATTATGATTGACATTTTTCTTTCCGGTTATTTTTTCATACATGAACAGGGCATTTACAACAGCGGTATTCAACGAAAGCTCGAGTGCCACTTTATCGTCTTTTATAAAGGGTTATTATAAGCATTCATTTGATCAGAAAAATCAATAGCAGTTTTTCCGGCGTTGTACTCAACCATTATTTTTGGTTTGCAGCAAAGCCAACGTCTTTTTTTTTTTACATTTACCATTTCAACCGAATATTTTGTAGAAAAAAACTAAAACATCACGTTTATCCTTCCATTTTAAAATTGTCATTCCTTTATTGTTTTCTTTTCCAATAAATTCCCCGCGTTTCAATTTTGTTATCACCACTTTGTTTGGATTTCCTTTACGATTTTTTCAAAGTATATCTATCAGGTGTGTATTTTTTCTTTAGTAGTTTGCTAACTCCAGATTTATGTACCAGTTATCGGCATATAATGTATAGCCTTTGTCAAACACATCTTTACATAGATTCATGACAATATTCGATAGTGTTTTCATTATCAAGAGTTTTTCCTGTTTAGACATAGAAACGTGTAAAAATCTTCGATTTCGATACAACTCTGCACTTTCGTATTACTTATCTTGGCACCGTTATGTATTTGTGAAAGGCTATATTTGGCTGGTTGCCTTTTGGATCAAACCATTCTACATTTTAATAACTAGTGCCATCTTTCACATCGAAACTGTCTTTGTCACATTCCATTATCCGGTCTGATGAACTATCATCTTCAGATGATGAGAATCGTAATACTCGACGACGTCGACTTTTAGACGGTAAAAATAATTCACTCAACGTATCACTGTCACCTTTTTTTCAACATTTTCGGTTTTATAATCGGGTATAACAAATATTTTTGAAAATAATCAATAAATTGTTCAACTTTAGAACACAACTTTGTATATAGGACTCCTAGAGAACGGACTAAAATTTTCTCTTCTCAATGTCTGTATTCTTTTGTAGTCTTGCCTCAACTGATTGTCTTTTGGCGGTCGCCTTCTTACTGTTCCCCGTTTGTATAAACAGAAAGCGAAACCAAATTGCTATCGCGTTGAGCGCGTTATACTCTGTACGCCCAAGCATCCGCTGAGCGCTCCTCGACACTTGAACGGAAAGCATAGCAAAATCAGCTCCGTGTCGAACGTGTTAATCGCGCTCAATTTCGCTGCGATAAAAACTAAACGCTTGTCTTTACTCGTTTTTGCAATGCGATTTTACGCTGTGGAGAGTGTATACTGTTCGTAAAACTAAAGGCGCAGATATGTTCTACGCACATACTGTAAAATGTGCTTTCTCTCTTACTACTACTGCTAGCGCTGTAAAGACATTAATGTTGCTTGCAGAATGTAGTTCTGTAGAAGTAGTGGCAGTAATTACATCACTAATATCTTTCACTTTCTGCCTTATATATTTTTTATTAATGCTTTATTAATAAGTATTCGCTTTAATACTATTTACGAACTATTATAAAATTTATAAATTTGTAAAATTTGCAATTTATTTATGAAACTTCGACATTACGAATTATCGTTACAATGGATTTATAGAAATAATCGGTTATGAGCGGCAAATCGATGCGTATATGGTTGAACTCAATTATCACACTTTGGTATATAAACATGTAATGTTTACGTTATGCAGTTTTGAGACATCGAGATCAACATCTAAGCATAGCGTGCGATTGAATAGTAGATCTATATTTTTCTATAAAGGAATATCCATCTCGTTCCTTGCAGTATAACTGCATGCTTCTGCTTAATCTATAAATATCTACCGTAACTGCCACTTATACAAAAAAAAAGTTATTCCGCCTCTATACCTGCATGAGTAGTAATTTTTGACGAACTGCTTGTTGCAGGCAACCTGATCGTTATACGAGTTAAGGCTTTTATTTCCTCGTTCTGATCATCTTAAATTGATGCCGGAAGCTAGAAAATACATGTTCAATCTTGCAAAATATGTTGAAATAAGTGTCTATAAAGTGCGATTGGACAAATTGTAAAATACTCCTAAAACTTTGCCCCAATGATCAATAAATAATCAAAATTAATGTGACAAAATTATATTAAAAGATTATATATTGTGATTTGATTGTGTATTCGGGATCGCTCGAAATGAAGAGCAACCTGGATACTGGATTTGCTCAGCGCAAGGCACGGCGCCGAATCCTGAACATGTATTATTTACATATATATTATTTATATTTAATGATTATTGGAGCAATAGGGAAGTTTACGGAATATTTTACAGATTCACATATACTTTTATTTCAACGCACTTGCAAGAATTTTGAGAATTTTCTCGCTTCAAACGTCATCATCTAAAATGGTCGCAGCAAGAACCAAGAGCCTTAAAGAGTGTATTTTTAGAGGATTACTAATTGTGTATCTGAAAGTATATGTAAGGGACAAAAATTGTACAAGAAACTTTGAATGTAATTTATTATTCCTGGTGCCTGCTTTCTCTTAGTTTCGTTTAACAAGTGAAGTCACACTTCTAAATTAGTATAAGAGAATATTAAGAGATATATAAATCATATTGTCACAGATTATGGTATTTTTGAAACAAACGAGAAAGATCGTGTATAGAGAACGATGTGTGTATTTTGTCGAATGACTAAAATCAAGTAAGTTTAAAACTTTGTATTCTGTTTATATATTAATAATACAAATTGGTGATAGATATGAATATGTGAGATTACTTTAAATAAGACCCTCTATACTCCCAGCGTTCCTAAATCCTACTTTACTAAAATTAAAAATTGTCATTAAAAACGCGATGCACATTTATTATCAATCATTAGTATGTAGCAAATATATGAGAGAGAATAAGTAACTTATTTTACATTTTTCTCTCTTATTCTATTTTACTCTCTCTTAAAATTAATAATGTGAACATTCCTTTTCATAACACGCCGTTCTCTATAATTATCTCTTTACAAAAATATGTTATTATTTTTCGTCTCTCTCTCTCTCTCTCTCTCTCTCTCTCTCTCTTGATTAATTTTATATTAATATTGTTTTACATTAATTTTATATTAATATTGTCGATTTCTACACATTCCGCTCGGCCAATAAAACAATAAATTAGAAATCGTCTCTTTATATGTACGTATAGACCATAAATTCTAGTGTACTAAATCTCATATATCGATCATATACGTACATGCAAGATATTTTTTATAAACTTGCCAAATTTTTGTCCCTTTATCTCGGATATCGAGATAATTACACTCTCATTTGATGAACTTGACTGTTTTCGTTTCAGCAAACACAAAAAAAAGCGTGCTCAACGAAAAAATCAGTGAGTAATTCTCCCCTTTCACTTCTGTTAAACTAAGTATAAGGGAAAGCAAATAATAGCAATAACATAATTATTAACATAAATAACGTATAAATCAAGATTTAAACTATAAATAGTGTGTTTTAATTATAAAATATAGTTACCTGTCCAGTAATAATATAACGATTTCTTTTTAATTTCAGATTACCGGTTAATAAAGTGGTGATAACGCGTGGGCCCAGAACGAATACTTTCTATGAAAATAACGATGCCGCTCAAATACAAACGTCACCTACTGCGACCATAGAAGATACATCGACGAGTCCGTCGCAAGATATCGATAGTAAACTTAAAACACTACAAATACAAACAAGACCGTGAGTATTGATAGATAGATTACATTATTTTTTTTATATATGTCTCCATATACTTTGAAATTATATAACAAAGATAACGTATAATTTTTTTATAGACGAAGAAATCAGGAGCACGTAGAGCGCAGAGAATTGCGGAGAACTTCCAGAAACTCAGGCAGATACATTGAGGGGCAATATATGGTAAGTTTCAACAATATTGCTAAGTATATATTGACACATGTTAATCACATATTGAAGCAAATTAATTCGTTGCAGGAGTCTGATTCCGAATAAGGAGATATGTAATCCCTAAAAGCTTTACTTATCCCTAAATTTAGACAATTGGATTGTGATACGTGTTCAAAGCAACTATGCCATCTCTCTGAGAATTACGGAAAAATATATTTAAAAATATATTTAAGTTATGTGGCATAGAAAAGCTTTCGGAGCGAGTATTAATAAATTATAATAGACCATCGTTATGTTTCTTTTTACAAAAGTAGTCACATAAGTAAAATTATTAGTTATTCCGTGGAATTCAGTTTATTTCATTATATATCACGTTATAAATACTACAATACATATATATTCCATTTTTATTAACATTTTTATATAAAAAGATGTTTAGTATAAGAGAACATTAAACTATTTAATAATTTTTTTAAATAAATAGGTGTAACTTAATATAGTTTTATTTATGTATATATCGTAGGGACTTTCAGTGAACTGCTGAGTGTATTTTCAAAATTATATTTTTCTCCTATACAATTTATGACTTATGATCTTTGCGTTCCGAACAATTTATAAAATGTCAATTACTTATGTAAACATGTTATATACAATTATTATATATTATTGCAGGAGTTTAAATTTTATTATAAAATTATATATTATTCATTTATTATCATAAAAGAATATAATTTGTGTTTGTTTCATGATAAAATATGGAGACGGAACGTCCCCATGAAAAATTAAAGTTATTACAAATGCATATAACATATAATCTCTAAGCAATACTGCTCACATAGATAAGAGAATACTTTGTGGTAATTAACACAAAGCTTCTAATTTTTATGTATGTTAATTTATTGTTACATATACTGTATACTGTATACAACGATAAGTTAACTCTTTGTACACGGTGTGACATGATGTTAATTTATTGTTATATATACGGTATATAACAATAAATTAATTCTTTGCACAGTGTGACGTGATCGTGAAGAGCATCACCCTATTGCATACGAGGTTTGCGGAAAATACTACTGAGTTTGCGACCTTTCGGTGTGCTGGATACGTTCTGTTAAACATACGCGTTAATTTATAACAGTTCATTTAATGGCGTGTTTAATTTGTTGACTCTATCCGACTCGGGCAATATTTCGACAATCTTTGTAGTATTGCAATTTATTATTTTAATTTAGTAGTAGTAGTAGTATTTTAATTTATAGTTCGTGTTACATATATACTGTAGTTTGCAATACTGTCTAATCGAATATCGAAATGCTGCCAGAGTCGGGTAAAGGGCAGTTATAGAGACTAGCCAGGAGCCTTAATGACAATATTTTATATCTCATTATACTCACTTCGTCTTGACGTTTTAATGTGAACAGATGCCTCAATGAATGAGGAGTGGTCGTTGTTCTTCTATCGACATTGCGCTCCCTTAAGATGCGTGAATTCGGACTTTTTAACTCATTACCCTGCCACAAATTATTAAGGATTTTCAGTGAAAAAATATCACACAAGTGTATATTTTTTTTTTACAATTGTACGTCTTATTGTACGATTATGGTGAGAACATTGCGATAACATTCAAACACAAATTTTTTTCTCTTGTCAATCGTATGCATACAATGCGAGATTAAGGATGTTTGTATATAACATATATACATTCATACATACGATATATAACATATATACAGATACATATATATACCTGCAACGACAATCTGCCTCCGTTCTTGCTTGGTGTCGGAGGACCAGGTTTTTTGTACGACGTCTACGAGGAAAATTAAAATTACCACAAACAGACGAAACGAGTGTTTCACAAACAGTAGTTCAACGAAAAGACGAAATTTTAATGACACGATTGCGCTCACCTGAGATCTATCTTTTTTCTTTGTCTTTTGCTCTGGGAGAAGACTTTGACTGAGACTGTCGTTAAAGATGTCTTCCGTTGTGGAACCCGACTATGAACAAAACAAATCACAATGTACGTAAGCATATAATATACATATATATATATATATATATATATATATATATATATATATATATGTGAATATATGAATATATATATATATGAATAATATTATTTAAAAATCACAAATATTTACGATAATATGGACAAGCAATAAATACATGCAGCATACGCTGAAAAGACGCTTACTTTGATCTCTTCTTCGGTCAAGCTTGAAGGAAGGAATTGCATTTCCGCTGGATAAGATGATTTCAAATGAGGTTTGCACTGGGCGTTTCTCATTTGTAAAATAGACAAGCGATCGACGTCCGTACTGAGCAAATCAGGGCCTCTCTTCATGTCGGCTATAATATTGATTAATATAGTAAAAAAAGGGCTCTAATGTTATCTTTGTACTCATATCCGTGGTAAATTATACCTAGATATACATTGTCAAAGATCTCTTCCTCATCTTCCGCTTTAAATGCGTTGCCCATTGCTTGTAAACTTCTAACGCTCTGCCTCCTTTCGAATGTTTCCTTCGTTATCACCGTAACTTTGTGCGTTGTTTGCTGTGCGTTTTCAGGCATCACCTCTTGCCTCTCCAGTCTGTAATAGATTTAAATTAATTAACATGCATATTGCTAAATCGATAAGTATATTTGTTTTTAACGTATCCCAACATTTTCAAACTTACTTGGTTCTGCGTGAAATCGTGGACATTTGCTGGCCTGTTTCGATTTCCTTCAGCTTGACTTGCACTTCTTTTAAGTGTTGTAATGCCTCCTGCTTCTGTTGCTGCTCAATTAGAAGTTTCTCCCCCACGCTCCAAAGTTGCGAGCTCAATTCTCCGACGTGCGTTTTGTACTTATTAATCTCTTCTCTTTGCTTCTGGCACATCGACTCCATTTGGCTCTGCAACTTTTCTCGTACAATTTTTTCCTGGTCGCTGTTTAATTTCGTCATTTGCTCGTTGTAGACTTTTTTCTGAAACAAATATTGTTACGATGCGAAGTCACAATTTATACAAAACACGCGCCACGATAGACGACGTTTCTTTATTTACCATTCTTTGCTTCATGTCTTCCAGTTTCTGTTCGTACGTAGTATGAACTTCTTTCAGTTGGTCTTCGAGTTCTTGCTTCGCAGTCTTGTCTGACTTGTCCTTTTCTTCGTGTAACTGCTGGATTTGTTCTTTCGTACGTTCCAGTTCGTCCTTTAGGGATTGCACTTCTCCCAGATCTGCCGTTGACTCCGTCTCCGACTTCAATTTCTTTAGTTCCGCTCTAAGATCATCCATATTTTTCTCCAGCTTCACATTCCTCGAACGCATGGAATCTATTTTGCCCTTCAGATCTTTCCTTTCCTTATTCAGCTGACTGATTTGACTCTGCAATTTTTTGTCGGTGTCCTGAGTCTTGACTTCCCCAGATTCCAGTCCTTTCTCGTACGAGGTAGCTAAAGCGATGAAAGACTGTATTTCTTCCTCCGACTTCAGTATATTGTTACACAGTGCTTTATTTTTCTCCAATTCCGCGTCTACTGCGATTTTCTCATCAGAGAACTTTTCTTCCTCCACATTCGTTAATGCGTCCAGACATTCCTTCTCATGCACTGAACATAAGTAGGTATCTTGCAGTCTCTTTTCCGTCCACAAAAACTTCTCCCATAAAATATCAGATATGCATTTAATGTTTTCTAAATGTTCTATACGATACTTGGATAGTGCATTTTCAAGACTTGCTCTTTTAGCTTGTAATTGTTTGAACTGGTCGCAAGCAGGGTTCTCATTGTGTAAAATATTCTGAAATTTGGCCAGTATCTCGCTCCACTTTTGCACGGACGATGATAAAACAGTATCTATGTCATTGCGCGAGGTAAAAGCTTTTCGTACAAAATCCTTCAGCGTTTCTTTACTTCTTATGACATTATTGAGATAATCGTTCCGTTTCTGTGTTATTATTTCCAATTCTCGTATTTTGTTTCTTAAACCGCAGACTTCTTTCTTGTCCTTTTTACTATTTTCTCTTAGTATCTTTTGTTCTTCCAGTGTTTCGTTTAACGTGAAAGACAAGTGCGATATTACTTTCTGAGATAAGTGTAATTCTTGAAGGGTCATCTTAATAATATTCAGAACATCTTCAGTTCTTTTGTCGTTGTTTGCGCACTCATATTGTGACGTGTCATATAAGTTCTGATCAAGAATATCGAAATCTGAACATATCTGTATAATTGTAGAGTTCAAATCTTTAGTTGGATGTTCCAGTTCTTGACACAGTTTTACGATGCTTACTTGACTCGCATCCATGTATCTACAATGATCATTGCTTACTTTAAGCTCTCCGTTTATTTCTTCTAGCTTTTTTTGCAATTCTTCTACAGTCATGTTTCGGTCGTGAATCTGATCTTCTAGTGCTAAAAATTTCACTTGCAATTCGCGATGCAGCAGCTTTTCATTTTCAAGTTCTTCCTTCAGTGCTCCCTTAAACTTATCAAATTGTTCTTGAAGTTCTTCTATGTACAGACATTTTTCTTTCAGAGCCGTTTCTTGAGTAGTCAATACGGCATCCTGACTAGATCTTACTTCTTGAAGATTAATAATTATCTCCTTCATTTTCTTCTCTGATTCACTTGCTTCGTTCATTGACTTTTCCACTTTATTTTGTAGCATCTGCAATGCTTTCTCTTTTAATTCCATTTCCTTATCTTTCGCAGCGAACATTTCTTCGTGCAAGCATATCAAGTGATCTTTTTCGGCATTTAAAGAAGAAATGCTTGAAAGTAATTCGTTAATTTGCGCATCTTTCAGTTCTATTTGTGTCATTGTATGATTCATGTCTTGCTGTAATACATTATATTTAACAACAGATTCCTTTAATTCCAATGACATCTTAGCATTCTCTAACTCTAGACTTTTTAAATTGTTATTTGTTTCAATTTTTAGCACTGTATATTGCTCCTCTAATGTGCGATTCGTTTCCTGTAATTCCTGTAAATTTTGTTTAGACTCATTTAAATCATTACAGAGAAATTTTTCTATTTCTTCTAAAGCACTTATTTGCTTTTGATATTGCAATAGGTTTTCTTGCAATGTAAAATTTATTGCTTGAGTGTCTGCTAATACCTCCTTAGTGCGATTAAAATTACTCTGCAACTCCTCTGTTTCTTGTTTCATTTGGCATAATTTATGGTGTAACGTCTGATAGTTATTATGTATTCTTTCACATGTTACTTTAACATTTTCTTGATATTCGACAAACCTCTGTTGAATTTCTTGTTTTATTAATTTGAAATCTTTCGTTATATCCTGGAGTCTTCCAAAATATGTCATGGTAGATTTCAACAATAATTGTCGATTAGCTAAATCTTCCGTCAATCTACGTACATCTTCTTCCAGAATACATTTCTCGTTCGCGATCTCCTTTAAAACTTCGATCTCCTGTGAATATTTGTGAATAGTTTCTTTTTGTTCATTCAACAGTAAATCCTTTTGCTTTCCGTCTTTTTCAATATTAGCTAACTCCACGAGAGTCTGTTGATTTTGCTCGTTTAAAGTTGCAACGGTTAATTGTTGGTTATGCAGGTTTGCATTTATTTCATCTATCGTTTCTTTTAATTTCTCAACATCACATTTATATGAAGCACATACTGAATTGTAATTTGACAGCATAACATTAAAATAAAGTATAAGTTCATTCAGCGTCATATTATCTAAATTATCAGTTACAACTTCAATAAATTGATTGCCAACGTAATATAAAATGGCCTTTAAATTGTTAGTACAGGTATCGATGGAAGATCTGTACAAATCTCTTTCGTCAGTTATCTTATGAATGTGTGTCAGATGTTCGGTTACTTGTGATTTTACTAGATCAAGAATGCTACTTAAATCTGAAGAATCAGTCTTCTCATTTCCAAGCAATTCATTCAAGTGTTCCATGCCTGTCTTTAAATTATCCAGTTTTGTATTCAGTGCAGTATTTGACTGTACTGTTTCAGAAAGTTCCTTTTCCCTCGATAAAAGTAAACTTTTCAGTTCCTCATTATGAGCAATAATAGATACTTTCTCTACTTGTAAATTTTTTATATCCATGTTTGATGTATGTAATTCCTTCTGCACATCATTTAACTTGATTTGAACTTTATCTAATATTTGCACTTTCTGCTGCAAATCTTGATTTAATTGTATCACATCCTTGTGATTCTTTGTAAGTACATCCAGCTTTCCTTTCAAAGAATCAACTTGAGCTTGCAATACAGCAGATTCTTCTTTAGCTTCTTGGAGTTGGATTTCAATCACAGAACTCAGGGCTTCACTATTGTTCAATGACACACAGGCGGTAGGAAGTGATGATATCACGGAGTCCTCAATTTCAAAACTTTGTTCTGTAATGGAATTTTTATTAAGTTCTCTTAGATGGACGCGCAATTCTTCATTATGCATTCTGAGTTCTATCAGATCTCTGTCTTTCATTTCCATTTTACGCGATAAAGATTCTAAGGACCGTTCGTAGGTTACAAGGTTATCTTTGTACTGTGTAGATTGCCTTTGCACAGAAGCTAGCGTCTTTGATAGAGTATCCCTCTCCATCTCCAAATTATCCATTTCATCCTGCTGTTTGCTCAATTGAATCTCCAAGTCATCGATATACTTCTTGTAATAGTCCTCACATGACGAGATATTCTCCCTTTTATGAGAAGGTTGAGGAGTATTCGGCTTCATTCGTTCGTCTCGCAATGCCTTTAATTGCGTTGTGTTTATCTCAAGTTTCATCTTTAAATTCTGTATTTTTTCCTGATATATTTTTAAATCGTCCTGTAGTTCGGCATTTTTAAATCGTTCTATGTCCAAGTTACATCTTAAATCTCTTAATTCTCGGGTTCGTTCGGTCATAATTTTATAGCTACTATGTGCCGAACGCATAATAGGGGACTTAACAAAGTCCTTAAGAGGCGGCGTTTGGCGGCTACTTGGAGTACTTGATGCATCTTCTACTAACTCCATAATAACTTCCTTCATTGTGTCCTTGGTGATATCACTTCCAAGAGGTAAAATATTTTCAAGAAAAGTTTTAATTCTAATTTGTGTTTCATGTTTCAATTTGTTGCACATCGGAGTATGAAACATTGTTGATTGAGATGCATACACCAATAACAAGGATGCAATGTATATGCATTCTTTGCTATCATCTTTGTTAATCTTGAAGCTGGGATATTCATCTATAGCCAATAACAAGAAAAACAAATGCGTTATTTCCTAAATAATACCTGTACATAGCTAGTTCTAAAGAGTTCAAGAATATATGTAAATGATAATAAAATTACTAAAAATCCTAAAAGTTATGTATTATATATAACATATATAATACTATACATATAATAATAATTTTATAAAAAAAAATATATATATATATTTACCTTTATTATTATTATTTATTATTATTATATTATTGTTATTTACCTATATATAACATATATATATATATATTTNTGTTATTTACCTATATATAACATATATATATATATATTTACCTTCTATAAACTGTGTAATGATATCTTCTTGATGACAGTTTTGTTTATGCTTTGTCCATGATCTATAAACATGACAGAATAAATGATAGATAAAGTATCAAATTATGCGACATATATAAATGTACTTACATTAAATTCAATAGATTGGTATAAAATGTTCCATTTTGTAATTTTTCCGTATTTTTCAGAGGTTCCTTTAATACATCTAAACAGTTGATCTATAACATTTAAATATTTGTCTGTAAAAATTTATTTCTCAGGAATTAAAATGTATACTTTACTGTATTGATTCTTTTAAACAATATGATTCTAAAAGATAACATCAAACCTTGTAATATAATAAAAATTAATATATGTTTAAAGCAATGATAAGAATATTATTAAAATTACTGCAAATA